AATAATCAGAAGTATTAAACACGGTCATAAATATATGTGTATTTATTTTGTTCATGTCTAGATATAGGTTTTCATTCTCTATCAGCAGTTCTTGTGAATATCATATCACATGTGATGTATATTTGTAGAGAGATAGGATGCGTCACCGTGTATGCCATAACGCGGGATAGCGGTATACAACCAAGCGCAGATTTATACACAATGCACTCTGTCTACAGTACTTCCCGTCAAGGGTTTCTCATGCGCGTATACTCTCTCTCCCTCACACGTGGCGTCGATATATACTACATTATCATCTTTATGCACACTAATTGTGATCTGTTACTGCCCTTCCATATACATATATGGCTTGTGAATGTGTTGAACACGAACGATCATCCGCAACAGGCGCGCAAAAGTAAATCCAGCATACCAATCGCGAGCGAAAGTGCCGAGGTTATCAATCTGCGCAATACACTGAAGAAGAGTAGGAGTTTGTTGGATACATCCAACAACAGCGACGCTTCGCGCGGGCTTTTGGCGCCCTCCCGGTCTATTATGGGCACCTACCGCAAAAACCGCAAGAAAGCGCCGTCTTGGAGTCCGGGTATGCTTTTGCGGGTTTTTTTTGTTTCATTTTTTTTGTGGATGTATGGAAGGGCTATTTGATTGGGGTACTTGTCGTTGGGAGTGGATGAGCAAGATCAGATAAGCGGTTGTTATGCGTCGTATTCGGAGTGTGCAGACGTCGTATTCGGAGTGTGCAGAGAGGACTGAGAAGTCAGTGGCTACACATACATAGGGGAAATCACATAGCACCTCCGGACGCAGTGGTGGCATGATGCGAGCTATTGGTGTGGCTATCACGATATCAGCAACAGATATGGACCTATACGTAATAAATATGTATCAAAAACGTCTGCGGTTTATGCACGCGTGGGCGCAGTCGTTCCACCTTTTCACCGAATGGAGACCCATCAATAGGCAAACGCATTGGTGACAGGTCATCGGCAGAGGCCTCTGTGGGCCATGTACCCCCTCAGAACCAGGTTTAATAGACACCTTTCAGAACACACACACTCTCCGCAATCATTTATTTATGCACAACGTTACAACCTGCAAACATTGACTCATGTACACACCACAGGCACACCTGTTACGGTCACTGGCCCGCGCGCGTCTGCAGAAGCCAATCCGCCACGTCACTGAATGTCCGTTCGTATCTGCCAATTCCAATTCTTGGTACGTTTTAATGCCAGTGTGTATCTGCCATTCCTAATCTTTCATTTTAAATACTGTTCAGGCAAGGCCGAGGGCGGGAAACCACCGAAAGTCATGTCCGATTGCAATGCATTCTCAGAATTTCAGGACGAATATCCCGATAGTGCCACCAAAAGTTGGCGTGGGCGGATGAGTCGATTGACTCTGAAGAAGGGCAAGTCCAGTCCCCAATTGCGGGACGATGCGGTATGTACATAACTTAACCCGAAATAGATTATTCTGTCTCCCCCTTTTTCGTGGTTTAGAAGCCGTGTCCTATCGCCATTGAGTTGACGGACGCGTGGCAATGCTACTGGTTTTGTGCGTGTGCACGTGTGCTTGTGCATGTATATTCCCAGAGTGGAAACACAGTCAGGAATGTCACCAGATGTGCTCCTGAGTAGTAAAATACAGATTTACACCCCCTGGGGTGCACTCATGCTATTTGGCGACGTGTTCAATATATTCTGCAGTCGTAAGAGTTCCATTGACTTGCTTTTACGCTCAGGTGACCGTTGGCACAAGCACGTCTTCTCACGGCTCCTTTCAAATGGCTGACACACTACCTTTTTAGTTATATATATATATATATATATATATGTATGTATGTATGTATGTATGTATGTATGTATATATGTATGTGTGTGTGTATGTATGTATGTATGTATATATATATGTATGTATTATATATATATATATATATATATATATATATATCTATGTATATACCCAGGCCTAAACATACGTTTCCATTCCTGTATAGAATATGCTCCACACCATTGAATACCTCTACACGCTCAGTCCTACCAACCTTTCATTAAAATACACATGTCGTTGTCATTATTACATGCCAATGTCACAGATGAAGCAACAGACGGCTGCTCTCTCGTCTCAACAACACCGCCACACATACTCCATCATGGGATGGGTACGCGGGCACAACAAGGATCCTCTACCACAGGCAAGTGTCTATACGCTGTATGTTGTACGCTGAATGTCAGCGTGAGTTCATGTGTCTACACGCTGTATGTTGTACGCTGAATGTCAGCGTGAGTTCATGTATCTATACGCTGTATGTTGTACGCTGAATGTCAGCGTGAGTTCATGTATCTATACGCTGTATGTTGTACGCTGAATGTCAGCGTGAGTTCATGTGTCTATACGCTGTATGTTGTACGCTTGATGTCAGCGTGAGTTCATATGTCTTTACGCTGTATGCTGTACGCTTGATGTCAGCGTGAGTTCATGTGTCTTTACGCTGTATATTGTACGCTGTATGTCAGCGTGAGTTCATGTGTCTTTACGCTGTATATTGTACGCTGGATGTCAGCGTGAGTTCATATGTCTTTACGCTGTATGCTGTACGCTGGATGTCAGCGTGAGTTCATGTGTCTTTACGCTGTATATTGTACGCTGTATGTCAGCGTGAGTTCATGTGTCTTTACGCTGTATATTGTACGCTGGATGTCAGCGTGAGTTCATGTGTCTACACGCTGTATGTTGTACGCTGAATGTCAGCGTGAGTTCATGTATCTATACGCTGTATGTTGTACGCTGGATGTCAGCGTGAGTTCATATGTCTTTACGCTGTATGCTGTACGCTGGATGTCAGCGTGAGTTCATGTGTCTTTACGCTGTATATTGTACGCTGGATGTCAGCGTGAGTTCATATGTCTTTACGCTGTATGTTGTATGCTGGATGTCAGCGTGAGTATTCTGACATGCCGCGAAGTTCGTGTGTTGGGATTTATTCAATACTAAAGATTTTGTAAATACGTTCGTAGTGATATATTGACTGTCGCTGGGAACTGCCAACGGAGGAAGGACGTGTGAAGTCTAAGTGGTTCCGTCGTTTTAACTTGCCTACTCTATGGCTAATATTGGGGGTTCATATTCACAGACGGAGTCGGACAATGAATCTGCCCTGCCTCAATCCACAACAAATGGGACCGGTCCCATGATAGGATATCCGTTGGATAAATACTTTGCCGAACTGTTTCAACAAGACTTGGCTGAGCCCGAACCTTTATTCGCAGTAGGAGTATGTACATGATGACTCATTATTTTGAGGAGATGTAAACCGTTTATGTAGGCGTGTACGCTTTAGTCTAACACCTGTGTTTCCGGTGGCAAATTGTGATGGTTCTGGTATCACTGGGGAGGGGTTATCAGACTAAACCGTTGCAAAACCGTTACCACCGGCATCCGGCCGCCTCCTAAGCGATATAACGTTGATGCATTGCGTTTGTATGTGATTGTATAGAGGATGGGTTATAGTTAATGTGAGTCTGTATGTCGTAGTTTGTCACACGGGTCACTGGGGTTGTGCACGTCTTCGCTAGATATGTATACGGTTATATATTAATGTACAGTGGATGTCTGCCCTATGACCGCAAGAATCGTGCAATAGTCAGGATTGTTATGTTTGCGTCTGATACCCGTCTTTGCAAGAGTTGGTGTTGTCATGAGAGTGTGTAAGTAAGTTCACGTACAATTACGCGCACTTGCATGGTGTATGTGTATATAGCTGACTTGGCTATATCCGCTGCACGTCCTATCTATCATCGAATGGGGGTTTACTCTTCTTTTCTATTTTGGCACCGCAACAGTCAGCTACGGTAATCTCTGAAACCCCCAGTGTTGAAATGCCAGGCCAGGGTACCGACGAACTGCAGAGGCAACGCATTCTACAGCTGGCCACGTCCGCATTTGGATGCGAAAATTGGGAATCGTTTGAGACGCTCTTCGACGAAACGTTCCTAAAACTGAAATTAGAATTGGATAAGGATGAAGTGCTGTACCGATAGCAGCAACGCTGGTTCTAGCCCCTCATTGATAGGGTTGCTACAGTTCAGGTTTAGGGCGTTAAACCCCTACAAATTCCACTGTGAAGTCTAAGGTTGACTTGAAAGAGAAACTGCACCTGTGCATGGGTGCATGGTGGCAATGCAATGGTAAGGTTGTTTTAGGGCTGTAGCCATGCTTTGCATTAGCCAGAGGCTTGCGGGTGGGTCGCCCCCGAAAGCCCAAAGCCCCATGGGTTCCAGACACGAAACTCTAAAAACCCTAGTAACCCTACAACCCAACTTTTGCTGGGTTGCAATGGGTCGTATTGTAGTTGGGTGCAGAAGACACCATAAACACTAAACAGGACAGGTCTCGCGTGCCAGTGGCCGTTGCAAGGCCAAGCGGCCTACCGTGTGGCGCGGGCCAATTGTCGTACGCAATCGGACGGTTTGTCGTACAAACAGGCGGTTGTACGACCTCTGATGGCACACGCCCCCTATTGCAGTCAACTGCAACCTGCGTTCATTGAATCTCGTGGAATACGTTTGCGGTGATACTCTACAAGTATACGGCACACACACTACACACACACTACACACACACACCAACGGTGTTCGGAGAGTGCACACAGCACCTCACCAGTCTACAGGCGTAAGGGGGTGTCTGCCTTGAACCAGAAGTGGCGTCTGTGGGAGACGGTCATATCGAGTCGAAGTCGGCGAATCGCAACTCCAAGGAAGACTCTCACAACAGGTCGCATTGGGTAAGGGGGATTCCAGAAACCTTAAAACCCTACACGTCCTGTGGCCGGGATGTGTGTATGGGGGGTGGGGATGGGAGGGAAAACTCCGCATATGACATTCTCATACGACATACTCGTGCGACAAACGCATACGACATACGCATACGGCATACGCAATGGCATAAGTGTCGCATTATGTGCCATTGAATGGATAACGGTGTATCAACGCACCCCTTGTGTTGAAGGTCGCTTGCGTTGAAACCGGCTTCATGACTGTTCCTCAGAGGCCCTGGAAGAGGTGTCGCACCGAATAAAGCCTCTGGTGAGTGTTATACGCAACACAACAGAAACACTATACAGCGTACTGAACTACTTGGAGAAATGAGATGCGGATACGAATGCTTTCCCGTAGTTCCGAGCAAGTCTTCTGAGGCATGGTCACTATATGTAAGTTTGCTATACACCACATGGAGACATGTACATCCCTTCCGAAAGCAAACACAAAGACGAGGGCGGTTGGCGTTGCGTTTGGATTGTCCTGAAAGAAGGGCCGGTGACGTCAAGATGGGGTGCAGCAGGAGAGGTGCACATGATAGAAGCACATTGTACAGAATGATACAAGCATATGTGCATGAAAATCAACTCACGATACAATCATATGTGCATGACAATCAAGCCATGATACAAGCATGTTGCATGCACATATGTAGGTTGATTATATGGTATAATCTGCATATAAATTCAAGTAGCATAGGCATGACATGCGTTGAGCACATGGTCATCGTATGCACATTCCACCCCATGAGGTGCACACTCGACACCACATCATTTGAACACTATATATCACATTATTTGGACACCATAAATTGTACCATTTGAGTATAGATATAAACATAAAAGTCGCGACAAACAAAAAAAACTTCGAAGTGGCCTGAAATAATCGGGAATCCGTCCACAAAACTCGGTTTATGTCCTCAATTGGGAATGGGAGGCGTCGGGCGTATTGAAAAGTGCACTCGATGAATAGCGGCAGTGAGAATGAATAGTCGAGGGAAAGGCTCGTATCGCATATTCTGAGGCGGTCTTTAACTGTCACAGGCATACTTTATATTTAGTGCGGATGTAGGCAAGAGATACTATTGATATCTCTAATCTGCCTTGCTTACTGATTGATTGTACTGGGACAGAGCTATGGATGGGTGTCGATACTTAGCATTTCTCTCTACTCAGACATCTCACATATCTGATTATAGTCACTTTCTGAACGCCTTTTGCTTTGTACTGGGACCACTCGACAGCTCTATGGATTGGTATCGATGCTCGAGCCTATAGGGAGTGTTTAGACAGTTCACATACATGAATATTGACAATTATATATACATACATCCATACATATATATATATATATATATATATATATATATATATATATATATATATATATATATATATATATATATATATATATATATATATATAT